CACACCCACGCACCCATATCCATGCATTCACATCAAACCTACCCACCCACACCTCAGCACACACCCACCCACCATCATATCCGCAATTCCAACCAATAACTGATGACATGGAGGAAGATTCCGTATAGTGGAGGTAGACGCCAGACACAGTTTCAAGTGTAGGCATGATAAAGCCCAATAGGATCAGGACCCTGAGCCTTCTCCGGTTAATTAAAGACTGAGAGGTGGGAGCAAAGTCCCATAGGTCAACCCTTGCATGAACAATTATGTGAATACCCGCACATTCCAAACTTCCACCCACACACACACACCCGCCCACAACCATTCCACACACACCCACCCACACCATTCCACACACACACTTACATTCATGCCCGTGCCTCTTGGGTGGCTTAATCTTTATCAATCATCAATCACACACACACACACACACACACACACACACACACACACACACACACACACACACACACACACACACACACACACACACACACCCGCCCTCTCAAAGGCTTTAAACATTATAGAAACAACCACAGTGGAAAGTTTGAAGCGTCTCTTTGATACATAAATGAGGGGTGGTGGTGGGGGGGTTAGGAGCAGCATAAATATGAGCCATCGCGTACATTACGTAATTCTTAGCATCTTCTGTGAATTGAATGTGGGGATGGGGGGAGTGGATGGGGCGTGGGGTGGGAAGGAGGGGGGGGAGTGGATGGGGCGTGGGGTGGGAAGGAGGGAGGGTGTGGATGGGGCGTGGGGAGGGAAGGAGGGGGGTGTGGATGGGGCGTGGGGAGGGAAGGAGGGGGGGTGTGGATGGGGCGTGGGGAGGGAAGGAGGGGGGGGTGTGGATGGGGCGTGGGGAGGGAAGGAGGGGTGTGTGGATGGGGCTTGGGGAGGGAAGGAGGGGGTGTGGATGGGGCGTGGGGAGGGAAGGAGGGGTGTGTGGATGGGGCGTGGGGAGGGAAGGAGGGGTGTGTGGATGGGGCGTGGGGAGGGAAGGAGGGGGTGTGGATGGGGCGTGGGGTGGGAAGGAGGGGGGTGTGGATGGGGCGTGGGGTGGGAAGGAGGGGGGTGTGGATGGGGCGTGGGGTGGAAGGAGGGGGGTGTGGATGGGGCGTGGGGTGGGAAGGAGGGGGGTGTGGATGGGGCGTGGGGTGGGAAGGAGGGGTGTGTGGATGGGGCGTGGGGAGGGAAGGAGGGGGTGTGGATGGGGCGTGGGGAGGGAAGGAGGGGTGTGTGGATGGGGCGTGGGGAGGGAAGGAGGGGGCGTGGGGAGGGAAGGAGGGGGGTGTGGATGGGGCGTGGGGAGATACCGGTGTGAAGACTGCCATCACTCCTCCCGCGCCTTAAGCCTCCCATTTCTCTCTATATATAAACACCGTGAGTAAGTGAAGTGTTGCACCAGCACCGAGGCTTACACACACACACACACACACACACACACACACACACACACACACACACACACACACACACACACACACACACACACACATGAAACCAAAATAAATGGCATGATCTCGGATGCAATCTTTCCAGAGGGGTACCAGCTGATAAGAAAAGAAAGGACACAGAGACAGGGAGGGGGAGTGGCACTCCTAATAAAGCGGAAATTGAAGTTTGATGAGCTGGAAAATCCGGGTACCAATGAAAGCACGAGCTTCATACATGGAACTCTGACTGTGGATTGGAAGAAGATTGTTATCTTAATAATCTACAATCTCCCACCAATCAGTAGAAGGTCCAGGCAGGAGTATGATGCCAGCAACAAGGCATGTATAGATGAACTGCAGAGGGCAGCAACAATAGCGTATAGAATGAGAGCGAAACTGCTACTCATGGGGGACCTAAATCACGGAGAGATAAATTGGGAAATAAGGAATCCCCCATGGCGGGGGAGGAAACGTGGGGAGCTAAGTTAGTAGACGTTATAGACAGGAATTTCCTAACACAACACGTGAAGGAAGAAACAAAAGAAAGAGGAGGGGATACACCGAGCCTATTAGACCTGATCTTCACCCAGAATGTAGAAAACATCGAGAATTGCCTAGTCTTTGACTACATGATGGAACTCAAAATTGTGACCAAAGGACAAGAGGTCTGGGAAAAGGAGAGTTGATTACAGGAAAGGGGACTACAGAAGGATAAGGGACTACCTGGGAGAAGTGCAGTGGGAGGAAGAAATTAGAGGAAAAACAGTGCAAGATATGATGGACCTAGTCATATAGAAATGCAAGGAGGCTGAAGAGAGATTTATTCCAACAGTAAAGGAAAAAACAGGAGGGAATATAATAACCCATGGTTTAATAGACAGTGACAAAAAATAGACAAAAAATGAGAAGTAGGAGGGAGTGGAGGAAGTACAGAAGACAAATGACAGAGGACAACAGGATTAGATGAAACAAAGCTAGGAACGATTACATTAACATAAGACGAATATCGGAAAGAAATTATGGGAATGATATTGTAATCAAAGCGAAAACGCAACCTAAATTACTACACAGCCATATAAGAAGAAAGATGTCGGTAAATGACCAATTGACAAGACTAAATAAAACAGAAGGGGCATATACAGAAAGTGACAGGGAAATCTACGAGGTACTGAATGCAAGTTTCCATGGAGTGTTCACGACCGAGCTTGAGCAGCTCCCATTGTTAGAAGAGATTATCCTAGACGGAAGACTATCAGATATAGAGGTGACAGCAGAGGAGGTAATGAAACAGTTGACAAACACTGGATGCAACTAAAGCGGTTGGACGACCCTAGCATGGGTAAGAAACTACCTAATAGGAAGGAGCCAGAGAGTAATGGTAAGGGGCGAGAAGTCGGACTGACGAACAGTAACGAGTGGAGTACCTCAAGGATCGGTGCTGGGACCAATTCTATTTCTAATTTACGTAAATGATATGTTTACAGGAGTGAAATCCTACATGTCAATGTTCGCGGATGACGCAAAACTAATGAGAAGAGTTGTGACAGATGAGGATTTTGTGTGTGTGTGTGTGTGTGTGTGTGTGTGTGTGTGTGTGTGTGTGTGTGTGTGTGTGTGTGTGTGTGTGTGCGCGTGTGTGTGTGCGCGCGTGAGAAAAAAATTGTTAGTACTAGTGCGTAACAGTTGATTGGTTGACAGTTGGGAGGCGGGCCGACAGAGCACAGCTCAACCTCCGCAAGCACAACTAGGTGATTACACATCCCCAGGAAACAGCCAGTAACAGCTGTCTAACTCTCAGGTACCTATTTACTGATAGGTGAACAGGCGCAGCAGGGTGAAAGAAACTCTGCCCATTTGTTTCCGCCATCGCCGAGGATCGATCCCCGGGCCATAAGACTACGAATCCCGAACGCTGTCCACTTAGCCATCTGCCCCCTCCCAGATATGTGTAATTACCTAAGTGTAATTACCTAAGTGTAGTTACAGGATGAGAGCTACACTCGTAGTGTCCCGTCTTCCCAGCACTCGTTGTCATATAACGCTTTGTGTGTGTGTGTGTGCCCAAGGGCCTGATAGCTAAATGGACAGCGCTCTGGACTCGTAATCCTAGGGTCCGGGTTCGATCCCCAATGATGGCGGAGACAAATGGGCAGTTTCTTTCACCCTGATTCCCCTGTTATCTAGCAGTAAATAGGTACCTGGGAGTTAGACAGCTGCTACGGGTTGCTTCCTGTGTGTGTGTATATATGGAAAAAATGTTAGTAGTTAGTAAGTTGATTGATTGACAGTTGAGAGGCGGACCGAAAGAGCAGAACTCAACCCCCGCAAGCACAACTAGATCAACACAACTAGGTGAACACAACTAGGTGAACACAACTAGGTGAGTAGACTCACACACACACCACTTGTGCCAGGAGTGTCACCCCTAGAGTGCCACCGTCCTCCCAAGCTGGCATACTTGAGTATATGTGTATACTCACCTCTAAGTATACCCCCGTTATTAATATACTTCACCAGGCCCATCATAGCTAGTATGTCCCCGCCACCACCCAGCCTGGTGGGGGAGGGGGGGGGGAGTTATATTGCTTCCCCACACCTCCCTTCCTCATGCCTCCCTTCCCCACACCTCAATTCCTCATGCCTCCCTTCCTCATGCCTCCCTTCCTCACACCTCCCTTCCTCACACCTCCCTTCCCCACACCTCCCTTCCCCACACCTCCCTTCCTCACACCTCCCTTCCTCATGCCTCCCTTCCCCACACCTCCCTTCCTCACACCTCCCTTCCACACACCTCCCTTCCTCATGCCTCCCTTCCCCACACCTCCCTTCCTCACACCTCCCTTCCTCATGCCTCCCTTCCCCACACCTCCCTTCCTCATGCCTCCCTTCCTCATGCCTCCCTTCCTCACACCTCCCTTCCTCACACCTCCCTTCCTCACACCTCCCTTCCCCACACCTCCCTTCCCCACACCTCCCTTCCTCACACCTCCCTTCCTCATGCCTCCCTTCCCCACACCTCCCTTCCTCACACCTCCCTTCCCCACACCTCCCTTCCTCATGCCTCCCTTCCCCACACCTCCCTTCCTCACACCTCCCTTCCTCATGCCTCCCTTCCCCACACCTCCCTTCCTCATGCCTCCCTTCCCCACACTTCCCTTCCTCACACCTCCCTTCCCCACACCTCCCTTCCTCATGCCTCCCTTCCCCACACCTCCCTTCCTCACACCTCCCTTCCTCATGCCTCCCTTCCCCACACCTCCCTTCCCCACACCTCCCTTCCCCACACCTCCCTTCCTCACACCTCCCTTCCTCACACCTCCCTTCCTCATGCCTCCCTTCCCCACACCTCCCTTCCTCACACATCCCTTCCCCACACCTCCCTTCCTCATGCCTCCCTTCCCCACACCTCCCTTCCTCACACCTCCCTTCCTCATGCCTCCCTTCCCCACACCTCCCTTCCTCATGCCTCCCTTCCTCACACCTCCCTTCCTCATGCCTCCCTTCCTCATCACTCTCCCTCTGCCCATCCTCACTTCCCTCTCCAACCGAAACCAAGACATATGATCAGTCCTCATCATTTCCGGCCTGACTTGGGGAAGCCGTCCGGCCTGGCTTGGGGAAGGCGTCCGGCCTGGCTTGGGGAAGGCGTCCGGCCTGGCTTGGGGAAGCCGTCCGGCCTGGCTTGGGGAAGGCGTCCGGCCTGGCTTGGGGAAGGCGTCCGGCCTGGCTTGGGGAAGCCGTCCGGCCTGGCTTGGGGAAGGCGTCCGGCCTGGCTTGGGGAAGCCGTCCGGCCTGGCTTGGGGAAGCCGTCCGGCCTGGCTTGGGGAAGGCGTCCGGCCTGGCTTGGGGAAGCCGTCCGGCCTGGCTTGGGGAAGCCGTCCGGCCTGGCTTGGGGAAACCGTCCGGCCTGGCTTGGGGAAGGCGTCCGTCCTGGCTTGGGGAGGGCGTCCGGCCTGGCTTGGGGAGGGCGTCCGGCCTGGCTTGGGGAAGGCGTCCGGCCTGGCTTGGGGAAGGCGTCCGGCCTGGCTTGGGGAAGGCGTCCGGCCTGGCTTGGGGAAGGCGTCCGGCCTGGCTTGGGGAAGGCGTCCGGCCTGGCTTGGGGAAGCCGTCCGGATAGTAACTGTTATTAATTCGTGTAAACCTGCGGGCTACTCATGCCCGTGCCACCTCTGGTGGTGGATTAATATTCAACAACGGAGGCAGGTCGCTTCAGTGGCGCCAACGATGCCGTTACTTACCTCAGGATGGGGAGGTGTTCCCTGCTCCGTTACCTCAGGAGGGGAGGTGTTCCCTGCTCCGTTACTCGCGGCGCTTTAAGTGGGTCGTGCACCGTTCAGAGGGTGCAGCGCCAGCAGTAGTAGCAGTAGCAACATCAGCAATAACAACAATATAAACAGCAACTACAGAAGCCATAGCAACAACAGTAAAAAAACAGAAGCAATTGAAACAACGTCAGCAGTAGCAAGAGCTGCAACAGTAGCAACAGCAACAGAAGCAATAACAGCAAGAGAAACATTAGCAGTAGTAACAACAGCAGCAGCAGGAACAACAGCAGCTGGAACACCGAGCAGCAGCAGCAGGAACAACAGCAGCTGGAACACCGAGCAGCAGCAGCAGGAACAACAGCAGCTGGAACACCATCAGAAACACCGAGCATCAGCAGCAACAGCAGCAGGAGCAGGAGCAGCAACAGCAAGAGCAACAACGGGGGCAGCATTAATAACAATACCAGCAGTAGTCGTCCCCTTCACAGCGGCGAGCGGAAATGTCCGCAGCTGCCGTTGCTCAGTCTCCCTTTTTCTGAGGAATTTCGCGGCTAGGGTTGGCGGGAGAGCCCCGATAACCTGAACTTTCCCCGCCAACTACTTTTATTTGAGAAAATTTATTGCCAGATCTAAGGATGTCTCAATACTAAGAGTTTCTCTGACGGCTTCTTTTTGCCCGAGTATATTCCGTTAAGTTCAATAGGAAGTGGACAGGATATTAGGAGCTTTCCGTTACATTTAAATTGTCTGGAGATCTATGGTTTAACGTGGTGTGAAATTATTTTAAATTAAATTAATAAATAAACAAAAACAAAAGCTGGGAATTTACACCATGAATTAGCACACTGATACTTGAAATCAAAACATTCTGCCCCGTGAGCTCTGGTGGGGGATTTATACGAGAAATATTAGCCTAGAGTCGCCTCACCTCTCCCCGCCCGCCCAGTTTGCCGCCAGGGCGCGGCCCGCGGTGGTCGCTTATGCTAATGCTTGCAGGCCGCGGCTCACGCTCAGAATGCCAGCAAAAAGGGCTTTTACATTTTTGGGATCACTGTTGGGGGCAACAGTGGAGGAGCGATGGTAGATGACGGGTGACGTGGATGACTTATTAACGAGTGACACGCTGATGAGGTGTCACCTTGACGGGTAGCCTGAGTGACACTTTGACGGGTGGCCTGGGTAACACCGTGACGGGTGGCCTGGGTGACACTTTGACGGGTGGCCTGGGTAACACCGTGACGGGTGGCCTGGGTGACACCTTGACGGGTGGCCTGGGTAACACCGTGACGGGTGGCCTGGGTGGCCTGGGTGACACTTTGACGGGTGGCCTGGGTAACACCGTGACGGGTGGCCTGGGTGACACCTTGACGGGTGGCCTGGGTGACACCTTGACGGGTGGCCTGGGTGACACGTGACGGGTGGCCTGGGTGACACCTTGACGGGTGGCCTGGGTAACACCGTGACGGGTGGCCTGGGTGACACCTTGACGGGTGGCCTGGGTGACACCTTGACGGGTGGCCTGGGTGACACGTGACGGGTGGCCTGGGTGACACCTTGACAAGTGGCCTAGGTGACACCTTGACGGGTGGCACCTTGACGGGTGGCCTGAGTGACACCTTGACGGGTGGCCTGGGTGACACCTTGACGGGTGGCCTGGGTGACACCTTGACGGGTGGCCTGGGTGACACCTTGACGGGTGGCCTGGGTGACACCTTGACGGGTGGCCTGGGTGACACCTTGACGGGTGGCCTGGGTGACACCTTGACGGGTGGCCTGGGTGACACCTTGACGGGTGGCCTGGGTGACACCTTGACGGGTGGCCTGGGTGACACCTTGACGGGTGGCCTGGGTGACACCTTGACGGGTGGCCTGGGTGACACCTTGACGGGTGGCCTGGGTGACACCTTGACGGGTGGCCTGGGTGACACCTTGACGGGTGGCCTGGGTGACACCTTGACAGGTGGCCTGGGTGACACCTTGACAGGTGGCCTGGGTGACACCTTGACAGGTGGCCTGGGTGACACCTTGACAGGTGGCCTGGGTGACACCTTGACGGGTGGCCTGGGTGACACCTTGACAGGTGGCCTGGGTGACACCTTGACAGGTGGCCTGGGTGACACCTTGACAGGATGACGGATGACCTATTCTTGGATTCTTAACAGCTTTAGGAATACAAACCTTTTATATATTTTAGCATCAAAATAGTATGACTTTGAATTAAATAAATTGAACAGTTAATATATGTTATATTTTATCGTAGTGTAATATACCGCCCACTTAACGTCGGTAATTACATATAGATATATAAATTGGTATTTATTTTCAACCTCTCATTACAGTATTTGTGAGGCGGATAGGATAGAATATTTCCCAACAAGTCAATAAACTTAACACAATTTATTTTACTTCATTCATCACATATATTTTTATTTGGTAATTATATATATATATCGTCTTTAATATGGGTAAAATAATTAAAAAAAACTCATAAGAAATTTCGCGTAAAATTTTCTACTGAACGAATTTTACATTTCTTTTTACAATATTATATCAATATTTTTGCCAAGAAATCAATATAGCGGCGCCTTTCTCTCCGGGGTGGAAGTTATGTGGAGGATCAGAGGGGACTTATAATATTCTTGACGAGGGTCTCTTGTTTAGGGATATGTGCCCACAAGGGAGTCCTCGACTGGGCTCTAATGTTTGTTGACGTAACTCTGCCGACTGGACTCCAGTTATTGACCGAGTACCATATTATACCATCGTGTGGATGAGCCCACCTCAACACCAGTTATTTTACCAGCAAAAATTTACTGTTTTACCATTTACTGTTATTATTTGTAACAATATATAGTTTCTTAATATTTGTGAAGATTATTTTTTTAATAAACAGGGTGTGACAAAAAGTCGGTTCTCATACACAATAAATAACAAAAAATATAATTTATAAAATTTAGTTTCTCTATGAGGGCGGACCTCTTCAATTTATCGCATGTAGTTTTATCCCTTTGGTTTTCCTTTTGAATTATAGGAGGGAGGGAGAGAGAGAGAGGGTTACCTGGTTGATACCTGGTTGATGGGGTTCTGGGAGTTCGTCTACTCCCCAAGCCCGGCCCGAGGCCAGGCTCGACTTGTGAGAGTTTGGTCCACCAGGCTGTTGCTTGGAGCGGCCCGCAGGCCCACATACCCACCACAGCCCGGTTGGTCCGGCACTCCTTGGAGGAATAAATCTAGTTTCCTCTTGAAAATGTCCACGGTTGTTCCGGCAATATTTCTTATGCTTGCTGGGAGGACGTTGAACAACCGCGGACCTCTGATGTTTATACAGTGTTCTCTGATTGTGCCTATGGCACCTCTGCTCTTCATTGGTTCTATTCTACATTTTCTTCCATGTCGTTCACTCCAGTACGTTGTTATTTTACTGTGTAGATTTGGTACTTGGCCCTCCAGTATCTTCCAGGTGTATATTATTTGATATCTCTCTCGTCTTCTTTCTAGTGAGTACATTTGGAGGGCTTTGAGACGATCCCAATAATTTAGGTGCTTTATTGCGTCTATGCGTGCCGTATATGTTCTCTGTATTCCCTCTATTTCAGCAATCTCTCCTGCTTTGAAGGGGGAAGTGAGTACTGAGCAGTACTCAAGACGGGACAACACAAGTGCCTTGAAGAGTACAACCATTGTGATGGGATCCCTGGATTTGAAAGTTCTCGTAATCCATCCTATCATTTTTCTGGCTGTCGCAATATTTGCTTGGTTATGCTCCTTAAACGTTAGGTCGTCAGACATTATTATTCCCAAATCCTTTACATGCTGTTTTCCTACTATGGGTACATTTGATTGTGTTTTGTACTCTGTATTATGTTTAAGGTCCTCATTTTTACCGTACCTGAGTGGTATATTTATTTTCACCTGGTGCCTCTGTTCACCTAGCAGTAAATAGGTCTCTGGGAGTAAAGCAACTGTTGTGGATTGCATCTTGAGGGGTATACGGCGCCGGTGTGGTTGAGAGGTGCCGGGGTCTTGGTAGGCCCACGGGGCGTGGAGGACATCCCTGGCTCCACCGGAGGTCACTGAAAGACACAGCTGCGTTTTTGCCTGACTTGGCTTGAGTTAAGAAGGGAGATATTCGCGAATCTTTTATTAGGCAACAACTTATTTACCCGAATTTACCTGAAGGCTACTATCCCTAGTGTTCGAGTGCCTGCAGTGAACCGTACCCCTGACGCCTATATCGTCTGGAAGGACTGTGTTCGATTGTCTTCCAGTAGGTTCTGTGTTCGGGGTGGGGAGGTGCACTCACCTCCCGGGAGACGCGGGGGGTTGCCAAGTGTCTGCCTGGTGGTGTTTGCCTGCCACAAGGCCCAGCTGTTTACCGCTGACAGCCGACGTGAGGCCGCCAAGCTTCCAGTTTTCCCGCCACAGAAAGGCGGGAGCTCACACGGCACCAGCACCGTAATGGTGCCGTATGAGATATATACAAAAAATGATATATTTTTGTGGAATATGAACTAAAACAATAATTTAGACTTTGTTTTCCATCTCTCGTCCGAAACCGTCGCTTACCATCTCGTGCAGGTGTACATTTAATGAAAATATTCAATAAAACTTATTCAATATTCAATAAAATACAATAAAACTTCTAACATTAAGTGGTATATTTATTTTCACCTGGTGCCTCTGTTCACCTAGCAGTAAATAGGTCTCTGGGAGTAAAGCAACTGTTGTGGATTGCATCTTGAGGAAGATCAACAGCTGGTCTAGGGTGACATCAATAAGCCCAGCAGGCTTCCTGTCCCCTATTATGGAAAATTAACTCTCATCTTTGCATTCACAAATATAAATATTAAAAATGAGAAAGTGCGGCCATTTTCCCTGAGTCTTGTAACATCAATACGAGAGCTGGGATACGAGGATAGTCTGAAGGAATAGAATTTCCCATCACTGTGGAAGATAAGAACGTGAGAAGACCTGATGACGACATACAAAATAACGAGATGCCTCTAGAAAGCGTACAGAGATGGACGCCTTAACATGGGCGGGCAACGAACGAGAAGCAGGTTGAGACACTATACTGAACATGAGTCAAGAGGGGCGCATGGAACTATTCCTTCAGGGAATGTGTAGTCGGTGAGCAGGGGGAACAGACTGCAGCAGCAATACTTGCAAATTTACCGACGATGCCTAACTCGGGAGGGAAATAGAATCGAAAGAAGACTCAGATCACTTGAAGACGATCTAGATAGGGCGTTGAAATGGTCAAAAGACCGGTAGATGTATTTTAATGCTGGCAAATGTAAGGTTATGAGGGTAGGTAACGATAACAGGTTATCAGCTGAATGATGTTGAGATTGCGGTCTGATTGCGAAAGATATCTGTGGCTCATGATTAGTAAGAATTTAAACGCGAAAAATCAATGCATAAATGTTCGAAATAAGGCAAATAGGACACTGCGATTTATTTTAGAAGCGTTAGTAATAAAACACCTGGTGTTATTCTTCAGGTATATCTTGCTCCGGTTAGGTCCCATTTAGATCATACAGTTCCCTTTTGGTCGCCATACTATAGAACGGACATAAAATTCACTTCAAATTCACATAACAAACGGGAAATTTCCGTTTACCTGGGCTGTAGGAGTCTCGAACCGTCGACCCAACGCGCCTGAAGCCGAAGCTCTATCGACTGGGCTATGAGTGGCCTTAATAAGGAAAGTTTCCAGAAGCAGCATCCTGCTGCCAAATTTATTTATAAAGGGGAGATTAATAAGGTATTAAATATATAAATACATAATAGAACACGAAACAATGGCTATAAATTAGATTAGTTTAGATTTAGGAAAGACCTGGGTAAATACTGGTTTGGTAAGAGTTGTGTATTTGTCGAACTAATTACCGGGTAATATAATAGGCGTGGGATTCATTGAAGGTTTCAAGCGCAGGTTAGACCTATATATGAATGAGTTTGAGTGGATATAAATAGGTCGAGTTGCCACAGGTGGGCCAATAGGCCTTCTGCAGTTTCCTTGATTCGTATATACATAAAGTATTAAACTTACTTACGTATATAAGTACTTGCAGTACTTATATATACAGTACTAGACAGCTGAGAAAACCAAGCTCCGAGGAGTAAGTTCACTTATGGATTCCCACCGGGAGCCGGTCGGCCGAGCGGACAGCACGCTGGATTTGTGATCCTGTGGTCCTAGGTTCGATCCCAGGCGCCGGCGAGAAACAATGGGCAGTTTCTTTCACCCTATGCCCCGGTTACCTAGCAGTAAAATAGGTACCTGGGTATTAGTCAGCTGTCACGGGGTGCTTCCTGGGGGTGGAGGCCTGGTCGAGGACCGGGCCGCGGGGACACTAAAAAAACCCGAAATCATCTCAAGATAACCACAGTCAGGGTTAAGCTTATCGAGGTCCTTCCAGACCAACCACTGATGACCTTCCTCAGGATGGAACCCACAACAGTTGCCTAACTCCCGAATACCGATGTTGCTGCTAGATGAAAAAAAACAAAAGAGGCATCAGATGAAAGGAAATGTACCCAACTCTGTCCGCCAGGGATCGTACCGGGATCTTTGGTACAAGCCGACGACGCAGACTACTGCGCTACACGTCCCAAATCTGTTCTGTAGAATATATAAAATTGGCCTAGAAATCAATAAATAAAGGACTTAACAAATGTTCTGTACCCTTAGAGAACATGAGAACAAAATGAGCGAGGTAGACTATCACGGCCAATGAACACATTAATAACTGATGAAACTAATGCAGATGATAGGTCACAATAACGTGACAAGATAGCAAGACCAGACCACATATCAGATAGTGAAGAAACCACGCCGTGTCGGTCCGTCCTGGATCATTATCAAGTCGTGTAAGGGGGAACTTTACACGACCTGATAATGATCCACGACGGACCGAAATGTCGTCGTTTCTTCATTTTCTGATGAGTGGTCATCATGATGGATCTAATATCAGAAGCAGGAGGAAATGGGAGGGGGGGAAATGGGGTGATAGGAAGGAAGGAAGGAAGGAGACGCGAGAGATGGTAGGGAGAGTGGTAGGAGAGAATGGTGGTGGGGTGGTAAGGTATGGCGTGCGTGCGGTGGGAGTGAGAGTTGACTAACGGGGAAACCTCCACACTAGCCACTATACTAATATAGTTCCTCTAGTTGCTGCACGCAACGACCAGAGGAGAATACGTGTAATCTGCTTCAGTGCAGTGATTCCCCGCCCATCGGGGGCCCTCTGGGCGGCAGTGAAGCGCATTTTGTCCGCCCAGCCATGGCTTACAGGATAATGATTGTCTTCCCGGGGAGCTGGTCACCGATATTTCACGTAGTGGCATAATTGCCCAGTTTTCCGCCGTGGTGACGTCCTCCGAGGAATTTTTAGGGGCATTCATCAGTGCGTTGAGTCACTGTTGGGCGGGTTTGAGTCAAGCGAGGGCGAGGCGTGGCAAAGCAAGGCGTGGCGAGGCCTGGCAACCGCCCGCCAGTTGAGTCATTGGTGAGGGAGCTTGTGAGCCGCTACGCCGCCTGCCAGTTGAGCTTTGGATTTCACGGAGGTAGGACGTACTTCTTGCTCACAGTGAGTGCAGTGGTTATTACCTTGTGAATTTGCTTCTCAAGACTACACTGAAGTTCGTTGGGTCTTGTGTGCCTTCTGGAGCGTAAATCACTTTTTTTTACAGCCATATTTATGTTGAGGTTTCTGCCATGTTTCACACCGTTCATTGTCAGTATGCCGGTGGCTGTCAGTGGTGGGGCGGGGGGTCACGAACGCTGCTCTTCAACTTTTTAACTCGCCTGATGAGCAGGATTTGTGTGCATGTTCGTGTGTGTGTTTGTGAGAGAGGTTGGGGGAAGAGGAGCGTGGTGCGGTATGCATGGTGGAGCCGGCGAGGGGTGAGGATGGTGGGTGTGTTGAGGGTGTGGCAGGGGTGGTAAGGGAGGGGCGGGGTGATGGGGGGGACCCTCGTCCAGGAGCGCTTCCATCGTCGCGTTCATGAAGTCTTTGAGGGCGAGGGGGTATATTAAGCTTGGGAACATCACATACAAGTGAACTAGTACACAATTTAATAAAGAAACTAGGGGGGCTACGAAGAGCCTTGTAAGGGGAAGGCATAAGCTATGAATTTGAAGATGATTTGCGTGCATATCTCTCTCGAGTAGTTCGTAAGAGATCTTTGTAATAAGAATTATAGTTTCAGTTCGTGCGATGTTTTGACGGGGTTGCGATAACTAGGAGAGGCGGCTAGCAAGGTCTAATATACCCTAGAGACCAGGCAGGTATGTCGCGTTATTTGACCCGTGTTGAGCTAGAGCACAACTGGCAGATGCATGGCGAGGCCCACTCTGGCGCCATCAGGGACAGGTGTGGCCGGTGCTCGAGTGCAGCTCTACAACGCCACGTGAGCACAAAGAGCTCCTAAACAAAGACCCCATATGCTTGCCATGGTCTTATTTACTTAACACTATTTTAGTGAGGGAAAAATCTTAAAAATGGGTCTGCTATAGCTAGTAAGAACTTAATACACACCTAGTTTGTTACCCACTTACGCTTCTATCTAAACTGGAAATAATGTTTGGGTCCGGGTACGAGTAGGTTCATATTGCCTGCCCAAGCACCACAGAGCAGGGTCGTGTCTGTGAGCGAGGGTACTGGCTGACTGGCTCGTCGTGTCTGTGAGCGAGGGTACTGGCTCGTTGTGTCTGTGAGCGGGGGAACTGGCTGACTGGCTCGTTGTGTCTGTGAGCCAGGGTACTGGCTGACTGGCTCGTTGTGTCTATGAGCCAGGGTACTACTGGCTGACTGGCTCGTCGTGTCTGTGAGCGAGGGTACTGGCTGACTGGCTCGTTGTGTCTGTGAGCCAGGGTACTACTGGCTGACTGGCTCGTCGTGTCTGTGAGCCAGGGTACTACTGGCTGACTGGCTCGTCGTGTCTGTGAGCCAGGGTACTACTGGCTGACTGGCTCGTCGTGTCTGTGAGCCAGGGTACTACTGGCTGACTGGCTCGTCGTGTCTGTGAGCGGGGGTACTGGCTGACTGGCTCGTCGTGTCTGTGAGCGGGGGTACTGGCTGACTGGCTCGTCGTGTCTGTGAGCGGGGGTACTGGCTGACTGGCTCGTCGTGTCTGTGAGCGGGGGTACTGGCTGACTGGCTCGTCGTGTCTGTGAGCGGGGGTACTGGCTGACTGGCTCGTCGTGTCTGTGAGCGGGGGTACTGGCTGACTGGCTCGTCGTGTCTGTGAGCGGGGGTACTGGCTGACTGGCTCGTCGTGTCTGTGAGCGGGGGTACTGGCTGACTGGCTCGTCGTGTCTGTGAGCGGGGGTACTGGCTGACTGGCTCGTCGTGTCTGTGAGCGGGGGAACTGGCTGACTGGCTCGTCGTGTCTGTGAGCGGGGGTACTGGCTGACTGGCTCGTCGTGTCTGTGAGCGGGGGTACTGGCTGACTGGCTCGTTGTGTCTGTGAGCGGGGGAACTGGCTGACTGGCTCGTCGTGTCTGTGAGCGGGGGTACTGGCTGACTGGCTCGTCGTGTCTGTGAGCGAGGGTACTGGCTGACTGGCTCGTCTTGTCTGTGAGCGAGGGTACTGGCTGACTGGCTCGTTGTGTCTGTGAGCGGGGGAACTGGCTGACTGGCTCGTCTTGTCTGTGAGCGGGGGTACTGGCTGACTGGCTCGTCTTGTCTGTGAGCGAGGGTACTGGCTGACTGGCTCGTCTTGTCTGTGAGCGGGAGTACTGGCTGACTGGCTCGTCTTGTCTGTGAGCGGGAGTACTGGCTGACTGGCTCGTCTTGTCTGTGAGCGAGGGTACTGGCTGACTGGCTCGTCGTGTCTGTGAGCGGGGGTACTGGCTGACTGGCTCGTCGTGTCTGTGAGCGGGGGTACTGGCTGACTGGCTCGTCGTGTCTGTGAGCGGGAGTACTGGCTGACTGGCTCGTCGTGTCTGTGAGCGGGAGTACTGGCTGACTGGCTTGTCGTGTCTGTGAGCGGGAGTACTGGCTGACTGGCTCGTCGTGTCTGTGAGCGGGGGAACTGGCTGACTGGCTCGTCGTGTCTGTGAGCGGGGGTACTGGCTGACTGGCTCGTCGTGTCTGTGAGCGAGGGTACTGGCTCGTCGTGTCTGTGAGCGAGGGAACTCGTTGACTGGCTGGTTCTGTCTGTGAGCGGGAGATAAATGTAGACCCAATACAAAAAGTCCCAATAGCCAAAGAGAGGCAGAGAAAAGACTAAATGACAATGACTAATGCCATTGACCATTACGCCTTGTGCTGGAAAACGCAATTGGATTGAGAATGGAGCATCTGGAGAGGACCCGTGCCTGACAAGCTCGTTCAAGGTCTTAAAAAGTGGTACTAAATTATGATAAAAAAAGAAAGTCTACCTAGACTGTTTTCAGAGATTGTCACAAATCATTGTTTAATATTCCTGGTAAAAGTCTGGAATAACAGGGATACACTGAAGTGGGTAGGGCAGCACCTCTGACAGTCATAAGTTTCGAGTCCTAGACTGCTGCTGTTACAAATTTGTGTTTACTACATATCTAAAGCCTTCAACCTCGTTCTGACAGTGCCTGCGACGGCGCTGGAACCAATCGTATTGGTGTTTCTTTCCATTGGAGACTTTCGGCGCCGTGGTGAGGAGGGACCTGCTGCATGGGTAACAGCTTCTCCCCCCCCCCTGTATCCAACCTACCCTGACTTTGCGCCCAGGATAGGCCACTCCAGAGCGCAAGTCCATAGTCTCCTGAGACTGATGGATGACTGCTAAATATATAAAGGCGGTGAACTCGTACACGTCAATGTTGCAGGTGAATGATAAATGTAAAATCAGGAGGAGGATTGCAAAAATATACAGGATTTTTTTTATACACCTAAAATGGACAAACAAATGGTTGCTGGACTTAAATTCCATCAAGTGTAAGGTAATGATGATGGGAAAGGGGGAGGGACCAGGAGGTATCTACAACATAAGGGGACGGCAGCTACGGGAATTTGAGAGAGAATTCTGCTGTGGATAAGTACTAACACCGAGGCACACAACCAAGATAACACGAACACCATATATGGGACACTGGTGTACACAAGAACATTATTTATAAACCAAAGTCACGACTCTTTCAACGCAATGTACGTAAATATTTATCAGACTAATACAGAAATATGCAGCACCCGTATGGAATCTGCACCTTGTGAAGCATAAAACTAACATTTGTGAAGTTCAGGGGTTTGCAAGACGATTGGTGATAGAGCTAAGAGGGTAGATTAATGGAGCTATTTCTCTCCACCCTAGAGGAGAGAAGAAATAGAAGGGATATGATCACAACAAAAAGATACTGATGAAATAGACAAGGTGGACAAGATCAGCCTCTTCGAATTGAAAGTAGGACCTGCTGCATGGGTAACAGCTTTCCCCCTCCCCCGTATCACAAGATGACAAAGACTGAAGACAAAGAGGACACAAATGTTAATTGGAAATGCTAATTGGTCTAAGAAACAAAGAAATAATCATGCCCAGAAATATAAAGAAATAATAATACCCTGCCCGTGAGGTTAACAAGTGGAATGCCCTAATACTTGTGGAAGCCTCTTCCATCCACAACTTCAAGGACATCAGACAGAGAATTCTAACGTCAAAATAGTTATAGTTTAACGTAACAGGTAGTCACTGATAGGTAAGTATGATTTTGCTCCCTCTGAGAGAGGGAGGGGGGGGGGGTACCTGACTGGCTCACTGTGTGAGGGAGGTTGGGGAGGGGGGTCCTGACTGGCTCACTGTGTGAGGGAGGTTGGGGAGGGGGGTCCTGACTGGCTCACTGTGTGAGGGAGGTTGGGGAGGGGGGTCCTGACTGGCTCACTGTGTGTGTGTGTGTGAGTGGGGGTTGTGGGAGATCAGTGTGGGCTCACTGTAAGGGGAGGGTCAGTTTTCCATGTAAGAGGCTGGTGTATACTAGTGTGAGGGGTGAATGGAGCCGAGGGTGACCTGGTGTAGTGATAACGCTAGCGGATATCCCGCGGAGCCACAGCTGTGGCTCTACGCTCCGTCTTGTATGTGGAGTCCACCTACAGCAACCCTCCCAACATGCTCCAGTTTAGAGCATGGACGAGAAACCATGTAGAGCATTGGTCGATAAACTTAAGCTCTGTATATCGCGCTCTTCTAAGGTGTTCGTTCTATGCCGTCTTATGTTTTGTCATTTCACCAACTTAGTGCACTGCACGTAGCCACTGAGCCACCTGCATGCATGGTTGTAGGCAGAGGTGGAACTTGCCCATGAGAAATGCTCTATATAATATTTGTGACGCTTTGCACCTAACCTGCAGCGGCACCTAGTAGCAAAGGGGCATAGATGCAGAAAGCAGCTGCTTTCTGGAGCTGCCATGGCGTCACATGGCTGCTCCACTGAAAGTTATCATGACGTATATCCTATATGATATTTGTACAGTAATTTGTTTAGTGTAATTTAATGTCCCATTTCTTGCTTAGCTTAGGTTTATGATATACATTTTATTAAACTTTTTATGACATTTTAGTGTCTGGTTGTGTAAACAATATAACCCAACCCTGACCTGTGTGAACATAAGAACCCTACGGTTGCGTGACCATTCTCCACCCTGACCTTAACCAGTATTGATTGTTGCCGCCGGCGTAGAATGGTCCTATCCTCATGGTAGAATGGTCCTATCCTCACGGTAGAATGGTCCTATCGTCACGGTAGAATGGTCCTATCCT